CTGTTAAAGCAACACCCTCGTAGTCATTTATAATCGTATCTCTAGTGGTTTAAAATGCAGTAAAAGTGTGAATAAAGACACTGATGTACAGCACTTGCTTTTCACAAATGTGTATGCAGGGCCAACGGCTGCAACGCTGCTGTTATTGTTCAAATACTTGTCGGCCGGTGCTTGTTTGTTTTTGGATCAAAAGCAGAATATCTCCCTTGTGTAGTTCCACTTCTGCACAACGTAAACAGGAACCATTTCAACACTCAGGGCTGTTCTAAAGTTTTGCACATTGAGATCACAGCATAGAAAGCAGCATCTGCAACATCTTAGACAGTCAGATGGGCAAATAGTCTATGTGTCATCAGATCAGCATGTGAAGGACTGATATGAATATGAGGCTGATCATAATGTTGTGCATGTTCTGATAAATTATGGCGACTTAATGGCCCCCAAGTACGGTTTTCCTTTCTGGGACATTTGTTGGTAGATGTATCTCATTCCCTTCTGAGACAATATCATATTGAAATAAATGATGTAAACTGAAGGATACTGTCTGTTGACTTAGTGATGAATAAAAGCACAGTGTGATACATGTTTTCTCATAAAGGGGATTATTTTACCCCTCAGGCATTTGATGTCTAACATCCTTCAAACAGAGAGTTTGATGCTTTTTCTTTTTTTAGAGGAGGATATACCTTTATCATGAATCAGCTGATCTGCCTCAGTCATCCCTCTGCGTGCTGCTTTCAGGGTTTGCTTGCCCACATTTTTGTTTTTTTGCTCTACCAAAGGTCAAATCAAAGCTGCATTTGAAGGATCAGCTTTGATCTAGTTGAGCAGTTGCTGCAAGTAAAAACACATTAGTTGGGATTTATTTTTTATTTTTTTCTGACACTGAGTTGCAAATCTATTTTTCAGTTCTCTCACAACTCATGAATCTTGTGCTTGTTGAGGTCACCGCATTTCCATCTCTTCCTTCATCGCTGTCACGGGTTAATTACCCCAAAAGTCTTCAAGGGAACATTTCTTCTCCCTTGATTCTCTGCGTCAGTAATGTTTTGTTCATTCAGAGGTTTGGATTTAGATGATTAGTTTGGGTGAATTTTGGGCACATTGAAATATCACGAGCGCTCCTTCTCTCTAGAAATAAGTTCAGTTGCAATCAGCAGGGGGAAACTTTCTTGCCTTTTTGGAACCTCTTTCATGGTAGCTCAGACGAATGCAGCGTCTGCAGAGTCTGCCTCCTCTTTGTCATTCTCTCTCAGCACAGCAAACCTCAGCAGAACAGACAGAGCAAAGACTTTGTCAAAAGTAAAAAAAAAAGAATAGAGAGCAAAGGGAGAGTGGGGCAGAGATGAAACAGACGAGACAGAGTGTGAGACAGACAGAGTGTATGTAGAATTCCTGTGAGATCTCTTCTCTTGCCATCTGTATGAGGCTTTGAAAGCTCTGCACAAGGGGAGCGTCTCAAAGTGATGGGGTGTTGAATGGATTCTCCATGCTTTCCTCTTTCTACCTATCTGTCCGATCCCCTCCCTCTCATCTTATTCTCTTGCTGCCTATTTCTGCTGTCAGAGCAGCTTCTGTAGTTTCCACCTCCGGCTAATGGATTGGAGTATGCCGCTTGAGGGCGGAGGGGGGTTCATAAATGTCCTTGGCTAGATGGCAGAATGGAGGCTGGATCAATAAAAATATGGCTGAATGGATGGTGACCTTGAAGACCTTGGTGCAAAAACTGCAGAAAAGCAAACATAAATGACGTGAAACGAGGGAAGTTCATTCATTGTGCAGCTACTGAGAGGTCACTGAATGTCGAGATTTAAAAAGACCGATTCATCGCCGTGAACAAGTTACAGAATAGCACAGAACATCGAGTTTTTAACCTGCATTGAAGTGCGTCGTCCTCGAGTTTACTGCATCAAGATAGACATTTTTCAACATAAAAATCTCATATGCAGATCCAGCCATCCATTATCTATACACCGCTTTATCCTCACTAGGGTTGTGGGGGGCTGGAGTCTATCCCAGCTGACTCAGGGTGAAGGCAGGTTCACCTGGACAGGTAACCAGTCTATCACAGGGCTACACTTAGAGACAGACAACCAAGCACACTCACATTCACACCTACGGACAATTTAGAATCACCAATTAACCTCAACATGTTTCTGGACTGTGGGAGGAAGCCAGAGCATGAACATTCAAACTCCACAAACAAAGACCCTATAGGGCGACATTCAAACCCAGGACCTTTCAGCTGTGAGGCAACAGTGCTCGCCACCTCACCACCAGCAAAGACAGAGCATTAAGAAGAAAAAAAAAGTACACAAGAACGAAAAGAAAGGTGAGGCCAACATGTTTCTGGACTGTGGGAGGAAGCCGGAGAACCCGGAGAGAACGCTGCATGGGGAGAACATGGAGACTCCACAAAGCTCCGAACTTAAGACTGCCATCTTTAACACTCGGCACCCTATAACCCGAGAGAAGGCTTGAAAAGCACATTGTCTTTAAAAAAATTCCCCAAATGTCACCATTTATCAGAGCAAAAAAAAAAAATACAAAAGTTGTGTGAAGTAACGTTCCATAAGAAAAAATGACCAAAAACAAGCTTTTAACAATAATAGTTTGTCAACATCACTTTATTCTACACAGCTCATATAAAGGAATGACAAAATAATTGCTTTTGCACCAAATTCTGTAAAAAAATAAAAATTCTGTCTCCCTCAGCACGACTGAGAATCACGTCACAGGACAGAAGGTTTTCTGGTGAGCTGCAGGCAGTGTTTCCACAGAGAGCCTGAGAGCAAAACAAAATGTACTTGATCAATAAAACTAATTCGACATGGATTTAAACAGCATACAGATGATTAAGAACAACTCATAATACATAGTTTGTTTTCATCATTACTAGCTTTATGAACCTGTCAACGCTGGTGACCTGAATGATTTTATATGGCACTTTGAGAAGCCACAGCAACAGTCGATTCTTTCTTTGACGAGCCTGCAGTATAACAGCAGTTTTCCTGTCATCTGTAGGACCATGTGCTACACACTGTTTTCAATGTTAGATTCCAACAAACAAAGTGCTTCCAGACTTTTCGTGTTACTGCATAAAAGGAGGTCACAAACAAATGACAGAATCCGTTATATCTGATTTGTTGGGGAACGTTTTCACTCACAGCACTTGGAGGATCAATTCAATGTTTTGGTTTGAACTGTTGTTCACGCACAAAGTGAAGGAATCGTGTGGAGAGCTGACAAAGAGCAGCTGAAAGAGAAGCTCTAAGCCTCACTGGCCTACAGCGGGCTGATCAAGTTGGTTTCATAAAGCTAACCTGTTCATTTGTAGCATACGCATTTTATAATTTTTAAGTAAAATCTTCAGCCGGGCAGTTGGTTAGTCAGTTAATTTGTTGTGATTCAGGCAGTTTTGAACCCAGAAGTTGAAAATGAGACTCAGGAGACAGATGGAAGCAGTTTGTCAGATTAGGAGATGGATGATGGTGATGGAGGCGGGCGTTGGCAGAGGCTGGAGGTTGATGTGAGACCGAGCTGGACGGGCTGAAAGGCAGCGAAGACGGTGATGGTTGCGGCTGGCAGAAGGTGATGTGCGGTGGAGGAGCTGGCAGAGCGAGGCTGAGCTGGGAGGCAGGCTGATGAAGCAGAGAGCCGGCCTGAGGCGCAGGGAGACCACAGTTCATTACAAGGCTTATACGCTGTGAACTAACACACTCCAGTTAGCTGGCCAGCGAACGTCTAATACCACACAGATTGACGGAATAATCTGGCAAAGACAGGCTGAAAACCCGGCGTGAGCGCGCTGCTGGGGCTGATTTAGTGATGATCAGCAGGTATGCCAGGAGCCAGCAGCTCAGGAGCACAAACCATGGAGTGATTAGCAGCTGACTGTTTTAATCGCTGATTAATCGCCATTTAGTTTTGTCACTGGTTCCAGCTTCTGAAATACAAAGATTTTCACTTGTTCTCTGATTCATGCCTGTGTGATTAGAATATCTGCTTCTGTGTGCGCTTCAATCACGACACGTTAATGACATTAAAGACTTCACTAGGGAAGGGTCGAGAAGCTCTGCAGATACAGTTGAACATGAAATCATGTCAGTCGATGCACCAACTGCTTCACAAACTTGAGTTCAACAACACGATGCATTAAAGATAAGTTTTGTGCATGAATCCTCTGTTTTCTGGCTGACTGTTAGTTGCGACTTGTGAGCCCTGTCCCTCATTGCAAATCAAATCAATCAAACTTTGTTCTTTTATGGCACATTTATGCATTTGTGTAACTCCAGGTGCTGAACATAATCCAACCATGTCACCACATAACAGAATCTCATATTTTTTCTGTCTTTTCCTGACTCTGTTTCTTCTCCCACCATCTGTATTTCAGGCTGGTGATTTCAAAAGGCAGGTTGTGTGATTTTCCAGTGTTTCTTTAACAACCAGCCACTGTAAGCAGCAGTTCAGAGTATGACAGTGTGCTCCATACTGTCTCCCCACTGATCAGGACAGTAGATTCACTGCTTCCTTTGCCTCAATTAGCTGTGAGTTTCCTTTATGCAACAGAAATGTATGAAAATCTCTTTCTCTTGATAAGCTTGCTCACAAAAGTGATCTCAACTCCCAGGAACTGCTGCACTCTTGTCTCATGTATGCCATGATTCATTTAGAGGCATTGGCAGACATCTGGCTGTTGCTCATGGATCCTTTTATATCGTCTGTGCTTGCAGCCTGAAAGGATGTTTAATGGTGACTTCAGCCTATTGTAGAAACCTGCAGCCAAGACAGCTGAATACAGATGAACACATAGCTCCAACAAACAGGTCGTACAGCATGAGGAAGACGAGGATGTAGTGCGGAGTGAGGTGTGGCTCAGAGAAAGGGTTTTTTTTCACTCTACCTTGCCATATACTTGATCATACTGTGCGGTGCTGACTTCAGCCTACAGGTTATGGATGCACTCAGTCCGACCTTTCCTCTGTCTTTGTGTCTCTCAGTCACCTGTCTGGCTCCGGACTCAGGGACCTCCTCCACGTCTGCAGCCCCTTCATCAAACGGGCCTGCCTCATCTCCAGCTATGTGAGTATTTTATTTGTCAAACAGCACCACAGTGATGATTTTAAATGTTTTTGTGAGATGCTTGAGAACACTTTGCTATCGGCCATTGTCCAAATAAAACAGCAAATGAAAGGGACTTTAAGACCTGGTCTGAGAAGATCTGTAGGTGTTCCTCCAGTTGTCCTGAAAGGGAATCTGCTGGCTGGTTGCTGAGATGTTTCCTCCCTCTTTCCTTCAGGTGGTGATCATCATGTCTGTCAGGTTGTGGCTAATGGGAGGATCCATGCCCCTTTTCTCTGAGCAAGACAACCCTGCCTCCTTCTCAACACACCTGCTCACCAGGTCAGCATCACACACACACACACACACACACACACACACACACACACCCACACACACACACACACACACACACAC